ATCCTCCATTACCGCCTCATGATTCCTCTATTCCCAACTGATGAGATATGCCTAGTTTTCCATAAGGCATGTTTGGACACTTTTAGGGAACATGCGGTTCATTGTAGAGAGCTCCCTGGTTTCAAGTACCGATATGATGTGGCTAGGGATGTTCTCTTTGATGTTTTTCGGCATGCTGGTATCTCTGCAAAGAAAGAAGCGCCCGTGAACTTTTTGATGGACCCACGGGATGGAAGATCTACCCTCAGGTTGGCTGACATTTTGGTCTTTGAATGCGTAGGAGGGAAGCACGCGTGTGTGGATCTTATGGGGGTCTCTCCTCTCGTCGGTTTGAGGAGTGGGAGTATCACAACAGGGCATGCCTCTTTGAAAGTCATTGCGTACAAAGTGGCAAACCGCGAGGATGCATGTATAGAAAATCAACATGTGTTTATACCTTTTGCATTTGATACATTTGGTTTTCTCGCACCAGAGGCTGTGGAGCTTCTCAACAGAGTCCAACATGTCATGCATTCTAATATCATATCTCCTAGATCCACAGATGTTGTTTTCAAAAGAATTAGTTTTGCCATCCAGAAAGGGCTAGCGGTGCAACTTATTGCCCGTTTGCCTTCCATCAATATGTATTGGACGTTAATTTTGATTTTATAATATTTCCTTTTAATCATTATAAATTGATTAGAATTAATTTAGAATTACTAAAAATTAATTGAAAATTAACTTTTGATTAATTGGAATTATTTAGAGGTACAAGGGTTAAGATGTAATTGTTCAAAAGTTAGACAAATGAGAGATTTTAGAACCACCTTGAATGGGATAATTTTGGAGGCTCCTCCAAGGATTTCTAGAATCCTCCTAATGCATAAAAGGAAACTAATTTGAAGAAGGATTAAAATGGATTATTTTATTATTCAAATTAGGGTTTGTCCTGGTACCCTAGCAGTTATAAATAGCGCTCGTAAGGCTATGATTTTCGGAACTTGTTGCCTAGAAAATCCATAGCTAAAATTTTTGTCCCCTCTCCTCTCTCCAAACTGTCCCTTAGACATCTAGGGTTTTGGGTGTGAGCCTTCAAAGGCATCATACTTTTGGTGCGTCCTTTCCAAGGAAGATCTTGAAGAAAAGTAGATTGATATTTTCAAAAAAGGAAAATGTAAGTTTCCAACACTATAGTTTTCGATTTTACATAGATTATTTTAGCTTTTTCAAAGTTTGTTGATATTATGAGAAAATCCATAGATCTTTAGGTTGCATGTGTCCATAAATAGTTTTATGTTAAGTCTGTTATGCAAATCATGTTGATTAAAACTTTGTAACCTATAAAACCTATCAACAAACAACAAGATTCAAAACACCCAACTGAGAGCACACAACAAAATAGAACATATCTAAATCTGGAATCGATAGACCACGACATGGTAAACGGCTTCTAGGGTTTTCGATATTTAAGGGCACATCCAGATTTCTTAGGGAATTGGCTGATTTTCTAACTCTTAATTTCGGCATGTATGATGCACCTAATTGTGTACAAGTAAAGATTGCAACATGATATATGCTTAATACCTTGTTGAGTGCATATGAGGGGGAGCATCCCAACAAATGCTTGTGTAATCTTTTTTTCTTTAGTTTACTGGTTTTGTCCCATTGGGGTTACCTTGACAAATTTATTTTTAACAAGACACAAAATGTAACCCATTCTCACTAAGGATGGATGAAATCATGGGGGTATCAAGTTGAATACTTCTTTAACCATTGCGTACTCTTTTGTCCATCATTTAGAGTCTTTTCCCACTGGGTTTTATTTTAACAATATTTTAATAATGTACTTCATGTATGGTTATTTCCTTTTCTCAAGAAATCCAAATCGTACTATTTTATCCACTAACCAGAGTTTTTTTTTACCCAAAGAATTTTCTCTGATAAGGTTTTTAAGTAGACGAATGTTTGATTTATTATGTACAGATACAAGACAAAGAAGCCCAAGTATGATTTAGTGTAAATCTAATCACCCAAGGGGGTGTTGTAACTAGTAGGATAATGATATGTTTCTTACATTTAGCTCTTTCATAAGTATGATTTATGTACATAACTCCTACAACTTTGGGCTTACCCAACCTTTTCCATGTATATATTTTGTTCTTGTGTACTTGTCAACATGCTTGAAACATTAGAGAAAATAGAGAGAAAACATATATAAACACAAACACACACACACACACACATATATATATATATATATATATATATATGATCAATGAGAATGTTAGTATGAATCATTTGAGTTAAATTGTTGAATTGAGCTAGTTTGTCATAAAACATCTTTTTAATTTTGTATAACAAATTTTATTTTATAGTTAATGTCACAAATTAATTTATTTTCAAAATCATACATATGTGAATGTTATTTTACTATATAGTTTGTTTCATGTGCAACGTGCAATAAGGATGAGCATGGGTCGGTTTGGGTCGATTTTGAACCAAAATTGGCACTTCGGTTTTCCCTCTGAAAACCAAACCCCAACCCAAAACCATCGGTTCGGTTTATTGGTTTTTCGTTTCTACTTGGGTTCCCCTAGTTCAGCTTCGGTTTCAAACCCAAACTTCAAGTTAATTTTTAACTGAAATTTATATATGTTTTAATACTTGAATCGATGTGGGACTCAAAGAATTTATCAAATAAAGCATGAATGTAGTTGATTTATATAACGTGTGAGAATGGTTAAGTTTCAATGTATACAGCGATGTGGGGTGGACTTCAATTATTGTAAACTAAAACAAAGATATATATATATATATATATATATATATATATATATATATATATATAATATCATAGCATATCATATCATATCATCATATCATACTATATTATAAAGGAAACATTTTTTTCTTTCATCGCATTCGTTTGAAACTCCCATGACTTTTAAGTTTCTTTCTAATAATGATTATAAATTGGTTAATAAGATCAAATAATTATCAAATCTAAAGTATAATTATATATAAACTAAATTTCAATATTAAAAGAATATCTTTACTTCAACTTATAAAGTTATGTTTTTTAACTTTTTACATATTATCATTAATTTATTAGTTTTAATATATTGTTGGATGTAAGTTTAACTTAAACAACTCATAAAATATTTTGTAAATAGTTAAAAGTGATAAATTGTAGTATTTTTCTAATAATGATTCTAATTTGGTTAATAAGGTTAAATAAATATCAAACCTAAAGCGTAATCATAAATAAACTAAATTTCAATATTAAAATAATATCTTTACTTCTACTTATAAAGTTGTGTTTGTAACTTTTAACATATTATACTTAATTTATTAGATTTAATATGTTGTTGTATATAAACTATTATTGATTTAAAGCTACAACTTTGGAACAGTTTGGACAACATACTTAAACTGCTAATTTAAATATTAGAGTGTCAAGTTAAATATAATTTTCAGTTCCACTTAAAAAACCCAATGAATATTTTGTGAATAGTAAAAAGTGATAAATTTTAGTGTCAAATGCAAAAAACTAAATTATAATATCAACTTAACTAAAATATTTCCTAAAACTATTTGTATAATCGTTAAAAGTTTTCAAATAAGTAGCTTAAAATAACTTACAATAACAATAGTTAAAAAATAACTCTATATAAATTATTATCTTGTTACCTTTAAAATCAAAAAACAATGTCGGATGTTTTAAATAATTATAATGATAAAAATTAAAACGTTAAAAAAATAAATTTTAAAAAATTAATTAACAATAACAAAAAGTATAAATAACATTAAGCCATATATTATATTTAATTTTATTCACAAGTAACTCGTGGGTAGAAGTTATTCAAACGGTTGGGATTATACAGCTATAATAGACATATATATTATCATATAATTCATACTAATCAATATATTATATCAATTTAGTATACGAATTATTATATCAAATTTAGCAACGTTATTGTTATATTAAAAAAACATATATTTATAAAGATTTCAACTATGTAGGTGTTTCTGCGCAACGCAAAAGCATTCGCCTAAAAAGAATACGCCTTGCAAAATATATAATTAAAATTAGATATCATATTTACTAATCGACGTATTTTAAAACTTTTGATGACATTTATATATAATGATATATTTTGTATGACTTCATTATTAATTTCAATGTTTAATATTTGAGAGTTCATATATGAAACCTTGGATGTTTTAGTGTAATATAAATAGTGTAATACAAAGTTTATTAGTTCAGTATTGTTTATTTATAGTTCATTCAAAATAACTTATTTCTTATTTTATCCAGTAAATATTATCGGACATAACAACTCGATTATATTAATGTTATACAAAAACTTATAATATATATTGAATATCACAAAAGTAAAAGTAAATTTATAAGGTATGAACTATATTAGATAGTATTAAAATATAAATTAACGGATTTTTATATTAGATTTGAACCTAAAATCTCAAGAATAAAAAAAGCGCCTGAACTACTGAACAAGGATTATGAGGTTCGAAACACGTCACACCCACTTTTCTTGATTTATTTTTCCAAACAATTTCAAATATATATATATATATATATATATATATATATATATATATATATATATATATATATATATATATATATATTAAACATTTTAAAATCGGTTCGGTTCGGTTTCTTTCGGTTTTACCAAATCCAAAAACCGAAACCAAATCAAAATTTTCGGTTTTTAAAAAAACTAAATCCAAGCCGCCTGTTTATGCTTTGGTTTCGGTTTTTATCAGTTTTTCGATTTCCGGGTTGAGTTTTGTTCACCCCTAATTAAATTGTAGGCATTAGATTGGTTTTAAATGATACTTTTAAAAAATTGTGCATTAATTCTTTCATTTTTCAACAATGATACTTGAAAGATTGTTATAATACGTAGGCTTGAGTAAAATGACATCCACTATTTCTATGTTTTTCTTCTTATATACATGCTCAACCAAGAAGGAAGAGAATCTACGACGACCTTTTTTTCTAAACATAGTAATTCCCAAACATTTTGCTTAATCTCACGTTTATTTACATTCAGTTGTTTTCTTGTCCATCCATAATCTCCATCACCCCCATGGGTACGACAAAGAAGAATAAACAAGGACATTGTTTTATACCACCATATGTGTCAATCTATTTTTTTTCCTTTGCCGGCGCAGGTAAGTTATGACCTTTTTCTTCCTCTATTACGTTCTGCAACGTCGATATTGTCTTTTTACATTGCTTGACGCAAATTTAAAATTTTAGTGTCAAAGAAGATATCACGTAGAGAACAAAAGGACAAATTAAGCTTCAGAAACTAGGTAGTCAGGTTACCTTTTTTGGCTAAAACGGTAGGGTATAAAGCTACATATCCTTTTCGAAATGCAAGGAAAATGTGTGTTAATGTGTAATCCTTTGATCCTTTCTAACCATTGCAAACTAAATTAGCTTGACCAATAATTTTTCCCTATATAGATAATTAGATACGAGAGAAAGTATTGACGTCCATATAGGATATGGGAGTAGTTTTCTATTATAATTCACCAAAAATAAGAATATTAGTTTATTTTATATATTTGAGAATATATATCATTGGAGAATAGGTGCATTAACAGTCTTACATTTGAAATTGATTTATTCCTTAATGTTTGAAACTACCTCTAATCCTTTAAAATTCAAGTTCAAATTAATTCAAATATTTTTGTGAATTCGACTCACTGTCAATCTTTGATATAAATCAAAATCTTATGAAAGAAATTAGTCATTGTTGTATGATCTTGTGATCATGATATAGCAAACTACAAAATATTTGAAATAAAATCTCGATCTTTGTGGTCTTAATTATAGATGCTCTACACGTTCCTAGGAACTATTTAGTGGCATTTTATATTACATATTCAACATCAGGTCGAATGTTGCACATGAAGAATTTGACTATAACTTAGATTGTTAGGAACATCTAGAGACCAGTCTTGCATGTTTAACATCCTAATTAGCATGAGTTACTGGATTGTTCGTGATACATTAATTAAGTACTTTATGCATTACATGAGTTACAGACGTAATGTGCATGTATCTTATCAATTTCTTAATAAAATCATATACAGGAATATATAAGACAGCAAAACCACGATTGGGTTGTGAGACCTAAATCTCATTCCTTTTTCATTATTCGTATCAATTAGTCAAGGTGGGAAAGAAGAAAATGAATCATCAAGAAAAAGTAAGACACGAGTAACTATATTCCAGTTTTCTGCTACTTTTCCATAAAAAATTGTTTGATATAATCCGACAGTGATTGTTTTTTAGGTGGTTGTAGCAGAATTCAAAATTTCATTGTATTGCGACGGATGTGAAAAGTTGGTAGCAGATACAATTTCAAAAATCGAAGGTATATTTTTTGCTTGAAGCTACTGATCAAACCCCGTATAATGGAGAGCTAAACATACACTATATATATTACGATCTAAAATATTGTTTGCTCGTTAAATTATAGACTTCACTTATTGATATAGTGTACTCGATCAAATCCTCAATCATATATATACCTTGTCCACCTTAACTATATTTCAGACTGGAATTCAAATATTGCGATTTATATACCATTTTGATAATTGGTAACACCATTTTTATTAAGCATTTGTGTATGTGATTCGTATTTTGAATATTCAACATCACATTTGATATCATGAAATTAAAATTTTATAAAATCCTTGAAGGGGTTGAGAAGTTTATGACAGATATGACAAGACATCAAGTTATGGTGATAGGAAAGATTGATCCGGACAAAGTGTTGAAGAAATTGAAGAAGACAGGAAAGAGAGTGGAAATGATTTTGCCTTCTGAAGATGACATTCCACTAGATCAAGGGAATATAGAACAAGAAGAATTCGGGCAACCAGCCCCAGATCCCGTGATGTATGAATATTTGGAAGAGAGTTCATTGTATACGATATTTAGTGACGAGAATCCTAATGCTTGTTTGATAATGTAGAGCGTTAGAATAGCATTGTATAGTTTTTTACTTTTATTACACTTTGTACAGTGTAGGATATCTCTTCTGTTATTATCGTAATTATGTAGAGGTTGTATTCAGTAAGCCTTTGTATTGGCCTAACCAAAATCGGCAGCCCATATTGTTGTACGTACTTTATATCAATATAGCTATTGATGAGACCAAGTATACCCACGTTCACTTCCAATGAGCTAGTCAAACACCCTTTATTCACACTAAATAAATCCAACAAATACTAACCATAACCCATACCTATATTTAAGGTTCTAAATAACCTAAGGTATGACTTAGCAGCAATATCAAGCCTCAAGCTTTGCCGAGCATTGACGAGTCACGACGTTTGTAAGGCGTGACTTAAGGCGGCACATTTCTAAATAATTAATATTTTTATATTTATTTTCAACTATTATTCTTTTTTATACATATATATGAGTTAAGGCGGCATTTTGGCAAAACTTGACGGTAGGTGCAAGCCTTGGAATCGTGGCGCGCCATGGCGGAGCCATAGCGAGCTTTTTAGAACCTTGCCTATATTATGATTTTACCAATCAAGATTACCCAACAGTGATATGGAAAATTTTTAAAATCACATTGTTGTAGGATGTTAAGTCCACCAAGCAAATTACACAATTTGTTTGCAAATAAAACATAATATAATGGTAAAAAGAGGTATCGATCATCGGAGAAATGATTGTATTCAATCACTAATGTAATCTAAAAGAACTATTGTAAATAAACTAACTACAATTAAACTAAAAGGGGTGGGTGTTTGATTACTTGAAAACTAAAAGACTTGAATAACTAAAACCTTGCAATTAAGCAAGGTAGTGAGATGCTCAAATATTGGAGAGAGTTGGTTAACTAAGGCAATTCAACACAATAAACATTTGTGTGTTTATCATTAGGATTCAACATGAAGTTTATCATTCATCCCAAATTGGTTATAGCAATCATGAAGCATGATATGTCAAGATTCCTCTTAGGTAGTATGGAGATTGAGGAACCTCACAACACACCTTCTTAATCAAGATCAAGGGTTTAATTGAAGCAATTTAACCCAAGAAGTTCATTAGCTTTAAGAAAGAAGGAATCCCCAATTCCTAGAGGATATCAATGCTTACACATCCATAAAGGAGCTATGATTCATAAACTATAGATGATTTTGTACCATCATAAAGCCATTGTTCTAAGTTAATTCAATGATTCAATGCAAAACCAAAGAAATAAACTAACAATAGCTCATTCAAGTGCCAAGCTCATGATCAAAGCATTAAACAAGTATAAAAAAAAAATATGATCTAGAACCTTAAACATAAGATAATTGATAATCTAGCATGAATCCTTAAAAAACCCACAAATATTCAAAGGTTTTAACCAAAGTTAACCAATATAAAGAAATTAGCCACTCATGGCAACAAAATAACAATCACAAAAGTCTAATTGCATAAAGAAACTACCAATCTTGGAAAGATGAAAAGAAATAACTCTTGACCTTCAAGATCGCCTCCTCCAGGTCTCCAATGGTGAAAAATCGAGAATGTGGCTGATAGATCTGATCCCCCCAAGGTTATGGTGTGTCAAATGACCAAAATGCCAAAATTGGGCAGTTGCGCAGGTACCTGCGCGACGAAAATTCCACCCGCACAAGTGTTGTTGTAATGTTATTGGCTCTTCATTTCTCCACTCCACCCTTCCACTACCAAAGATTCCTTAGGTCCCCTCCATATCCATGTGATATAAACGAACAAATCATCATTTAGTTTCAAATGTGGATGCTCCAAACCCAAAATAAAAGTCCAAGATCCATCTTCACAAGCCCACTCACTACTACAAAAAGCCACATAGAACCCACTTTATAGGACCCGGTTTTATAAAAAACCGGGTTATATTATATAAAACCGGGTTTTATAGTGGGAAGTGTAATATGACCCGGCTTAAAGCGAACAAGCGGGCTTTATGCTAGATTTAAAAAACCCGGTTTATATTGACATAACTGGGTCTTTTAGCTATAAGGTTGTATAACCCGGTTTTCTAATACAAACGTGTTTTATGGGTACAAGAAGTGGTTTATAAGATGACTAAAGGATCCAATTTTTCTAAAACCAAACTCTATTTCGCCAACCCCCATTTTTTTGATGTGTTTATTTCCAAATCATAGCACTGGGAACATGGCGCCATATTTAATAATCTCTATGTAATTACAAATTGAAAATAACATTCTCATTTTTTCAACAAACTCTGTAAGTATTGTATATACATAAACCGATTTAAAATACACAATAGTACACTGCCACTTAACCTAAACCATTATTAGTTTCCAACACAATAAAGTTTTTTACATTAAAGTATACAAGATTACTATTAAAATTTATTTCAACAAAACAATAGTGGGAAGACTTACATTTAAAATCATTTAAATAAAAACTACAAACAATATACAATAGTCAATAATATTAACAGGTAAACAACAAGACTCTTGGGATCCAAAAATCTCATTCTTAAAGTTTCAATTATTTACTTAACAGTACCTATAAAACAGATAACATGCAATAAAATTATAACAAGTAATTACATCAATAATAACCAGATTTGCAATAACGGTTTTTAATCAATTCTTTTATTTCCTAACAGCTTATTAGGATTCTTCGCAGCATCCATCTTCAGTTCATTCTTGAGTTGGCACTTGAAATTTGATTCTTGAAACTACTCTTCAATTTGTACTTCAAGAATCAAGTCAAATATGTGCAGTAATTGGCAGAAATTCAATAATCAAATTAGAAATTTGTATGCAGTTGAAATCGGATGTAAGATTATATATTGCTTAGTTAAAATGTTTAACTCGTCAAGAAAACCATCAGGTAAAATCAAAGACAAACTTTCACCTTTAGTTCTTTAAATAGGATGAGTCTTAAACATATTTTCAAAACAAGTCACACTAGGAAGTCATATGACCCGTTTTCAACAGGCACGTGTTTTTACTTCATTTAGCAAGGCCTTTTTACTTCATCTAGAAAATGCAAATGTGGCTTAATGACTTTTTTTGTTTTGAACAACTATGACTTTATTAAGCACACACAAGAGGAAGTTGGAACAAAGTCCAGTATTAAGCAACAAGAAGAGCCAAAGAAACAAAAGCTAAGCTAAACAAACAAACAGAGAACTAAAAGCAATATGAAAACACCCCACAAGGGTAAAAAGGTCCAAATAGCAAAGATTTATCCCACTAGCAACCAATAGAGAGCACTGCAAACCAGGACAAAAGCAAACGGATGAATAGAGGCAGAAAACTTCAGTCAACAAGCACCACACCAAAAAATGCCAATCAGGGGCAAAATGGTCAATAAACCAAAAAAAAACCCACCAACATGTAGAAAGCAAATAACAAGGAGCACAAATAGAACCAGAGAAGATCAAAAAAGTATGCCAGCAGCTCCAAAGAACACCGGATAGATGATACCTGCATATTTCACTATTTAATATCCTTATCACGTTAAAATTCATGGACTCTGAAAAAAAAACTGATAAGATATATATTACTCAAATACTTAACCGTTCATGGATAAAACTTTAAATTTTAAAGTTCAAAAGATATTGATAAAAGCATGGACTGAAAGATAATGACCATTGATTCCAATGATTATCTACTTAATTGCTATATTTTCTTCCATTGACGCACACACAAAAATAGAGAAACCATATGAAAAAAGTTGAAGTTATTCATCCATTAGCATAGAGAGAAAGTCAAGCAAAATTACACGTGCAGAGAATCCATAAATCTTGTATGAAGGAGATGAAAATCGTATGATACAGCACATGTATTCTTCTATTCTTCTTCATTAAGTTTGAGTATGTATCTTTAATCTTATTGTAGACTTGTAGTGTGTTAATTTAATCATATGTTTAATTTAGAATTTTTTTTAACAGTTGAGGTGTGTGGTCAGCCTCAGATTTTCACATTTGAAAACTTACATAAAAGTTGAGCAGAGTCAGAAGTTGTGAACGGCATAGACCATTGCAAAGGTTCAGCTTCCTCAACAACCAAAGCTATCTCTAGTCTTGCTGCAGCCTTCCAAATATCCCCTGGAATTATAGATAACATTAATCCTTTCCCTTTAATCTTTGGCACACACATTCAAAGGTAACTTCCAGATAAGAACATAAAATTTCGTTATATTTAAGTAGAATTGAAAATCTAAGACAGTGTTCCAGACAATGAATATCACAGGAATATTTGTTGAGACTTATTGAATCATAATATTTTTTATGTAATTACAGATGGATCTTAGTTACTGGAAACATGGAAATAAACGTTCAGACTATAAAAACTTGCAGGCTCACCATTGTGTGGACGTTATGCATATCGAAAAAAGTGTTTGTGAAACCTTGATAGCCTTAATGTTGAACATCAAGGGAAAGTCAAAAGACGGATTTAGTCTTCGAGAAGATGATGTTGACGACACCACTCACTTACAGTCAGATCATGCTGAAGGACTATGATTATATTAACCCAATGATAAGCTTGGACTGTTTGGCCAGGTCTATCTAACGAGCCTTTTATTTGAATAAGGATTATTATCCGGTTGTTTAGTTATTTGTTTAGACTAAGATACTTATTTCTAATTTATAGGATCTTGTTTTAGATTGTCTAGTAGGTCATTATAGATATGGTGCACCATTGATTCCTATTTTTTAAACAATTAATAAAGCTAATCAAAGACTATTTTGGAGATTACATGTTCTTGAAACAGGCCTAAGGACCGAATATCGTAGCTATCTTCCACATACTTTGTAAAGTAAAACAAGTTATCAATATGAAATGTGAAAGTGATTGTAAATTTGCACTAATTTAGTTGTCATCAATTGATTAAAGATTATGAATTTGAAACTTTATAGGAATATGAAGTAAAATTATAAATCATATGAACTTTAAAATTCAAAACAAATTGGTGACCTTTTATGTTGTTAAAATCAGAGGTAACATTGATGTAGATTTGGATCAGTAAACACTCCTTAGTTCTTACTTAAAAAATACATCATCAATACTTGTTAACCTTTTATGTCCTACCAAAATGGAATATGCTAATAAAGCAAAATCAAGATTTAATTCACAATATACAGCACCAGAATCACGAATTACACCACACTGGCAAAGGAACTCCTTGTCTGACAAGCTCTATTGTTCACTCACAGATACGCATACAAAAATTTTATTGAAACAGTTAGATATGATGCTTATAATTAACAGAGGTAAAAAAAGTTGTGATGTTACTATCAAGTTGGAGAAGAATATAAGAGGGTTAATAGCATTTATTATAGCATGATATGGGTACCGACGTGTGAGGGAAAATGATAAAGCAAAATTAATCTTAACGTTATCAATTAGCCTTCACTTTTCAAAAGGACAACTAATATTATAATAAAAATCATATATTTAAATTATAAAGCTGATAAATCTCATGAAGATACACACACACACAAAAAAAAATTATAACAAAATAAAAAAACAGATCGGAAGATTATCAAGAAAAAATATATTACAGTTTTAGCATATCATAGAATAAGTTGTTCTACCAAAAACACAGAAGACTATCACTAAAATAAATTATATATAAAACTAAAAACATAACCAATCATAAACAAACTTTTAATTTTAAAACTTAACAGATATTGATGCAACTATTTGGGAGGATAATTACCACTAATTCCTAAGATTATGTTATTCATTCCTATTTATTCCTCCCATAACACACACAAAGCATACACGGGAAAAAAATCAAGAGAAGGAAGCTAGAAGCTGCTTGGTATGTATCTCCAATGCTAATCAAATGTAGTTTTAATTGATTTACAATTCTTTACTATTCCAATAGGTTAAACGAGAAAATATTTTCATAAGTTTATTTTTTTCTTATACATGCAGAAAATCAAAAGATCACATACGACTGGGATGGAAACTATTAGCTACAGCACATGTGTTCTTCTTTATTAAGTCCAAGTATGTACCTCTAATCTGACCATAGTGTTTACTCTGGTTTAGTTTTTATAAACTACAAATTGCAGTGCATCACACCAGTATCTATTTTGGCAATCTAAATAAATGGGTTCAAAGATAAGAGTTGTGGTCCTTCAGTAATAAAACACTTTAGAATTTAGTTTCCTTTTTCGATTCTTTTTTATTATATTTTATTGTAAAATTAAAATGTATTTGGTACTTTTAAACAGATAATGTAAATTTAAAAGTCATAGCAAATGGTAACTAGTAAAGACAATAGAAACACCTTAAACCTTAAGTGGTGACATCGGTTTCTTCTTTTTTTCCTGTTTCTTCTATGAAACCTGGAATAACCCTGTACGAAAAATAAGACATAAAGAAACAAATATAAGTGAAATTTAATACTTGTATTCAAATGCTAATCTGAAAAATAACAAGAGAGCAGCAAGCTATCAAACCTATCTCTAGAGCCTTTTGGGGTTATATGGTGAAAGGTTGCAGGGGCGACTCACATTCAGGGATAGTAATGGTTATGAAACATAGATATCTAGTTGGGCTTTTGGGGGCACAAGATACAGAATATGGCAGATTGAAAGAAGGAATCAACTGATTGGTAAAAGATCGCCTTATGAGATTATATTTCGGAGGTTTTGATATGTGGATGTGGTAGAGTATGAAAGACACGATGCAGTCATTGATAGGGTAGAAGTAGAAGGTGAAAGAGGCCTTTAGCAGGAAAAATAAAGAAAGTCCCGCCTTCCACTAAATTAGTTTTTTCTATAATATTTGATGTTATAAAAAAGTTATTTATATACGTTTCTGTTTAATATATATCAATTAGATAAACTATTTTTAATTACTCATATAACAAATAATATGATTTGTTTTAGTATTAAAACCCAATCAAAATAACAATGGATTAATAATAATAATAACAATAACTTATTTTATTACGTAATTCGTTATATGACTTGATTTTCTGTGTGTTTGAATATTGCAGGAATATTTGTTGAAGCTTATTGAATCATCAAATAATACATTACTCATCTTGTCTATCGAGTCAGGATAAGGTATTTTTATTACTTTCAAACACTCGGTCATATTTTCGTAAGATTAAATTTGTATTAGGTAAATTACAAATGCCTTTAGATGTATTCTTAGTCCTACATGCATGTTATTAATATATGGTTGATGTGATAACAGATGGATCGTAGTTATTGGATGTATAGAATTAAACGTTCATGTGATGAATATTTGGCATGTCTGGGTGGTTTTCTTAAAGCTGCAGAGGAACATCGGGTGAATAAAGGAGAAAGCTGCATATGGTGTCCTTGTGTAGATTGTCAGAACTGTCATATGTACACTGATTCTGCTAAAGTACAGGAACATTTAATAATTCGTGGGTTTATGAGAGATTATATATGTTGGTCACGACATGGAGAGACATTGGTTAATGATAATGAGGTTGTTTCAAAGTTTAATAATGATAATAATGATTCAAACAATGACAAGTACAATGACTTATCTGGAATGTTACATGATTGGGAGGACAATGTCGCTGAAAAGGATTATGAAAATTTTCAACAATTATTTGATGACTCAGAAAAACCGTTGTATACCGGGTGTATGAAGTATACCAAATTATCTGTTGTTTTGAAACTATTTAACCTAAAAGCAAACAATAGTTGGAGTGATACAAGTTTCACAAATCTTCTAAAGCTTTTGAATGATATGCTTCCTGAAGATAACGAGTTACCTATTTCAACATATCAAGCAAAAAAACTAATGTGCCCAATGGGAATGGAAATCGAAAGAATACATGCATGTCCAAATGACTGTATGTTATACAGAAACCAGTATGCAGATCTAGATAAGTGTATCACATGCGGTACATCACGGTATAAGAAGAATAATCATACAGAAGAAACCAATGATGTGAAAAAGAAAGGTCCACCTGCTAAAGTATTGCGGTATTTGCCTATTGTGCCTAGATTGAAGCGGTTATTTGCAAACGCCAAAGATGCAAAATTAATACGATGGCATGCTGATCGTAAAATAGACGAAAAAATAAGACATGTGGCTGATTCCCCTCAATGGAGAAATATTAATTCCAATTTTAAAGAATTTGGTCGAGAAATTAGAAATATTAGGTTCGGACTTAGTTCTGATGGAATTAATCCATTTGGAAGCCTAAGCAGTCGTCATAGTACATGGCCGGTTCTTCTTTGTATCTACAATCTCCCACCTTGGTTATGCATGAAAAGAAGATACATCATGATGTCATTACTAATTCAAGGTCCAAAACAGCCGAGAAATGATATCGATGTTTATTTAGCTCCATTAATTGAGGACATGAAAAAATTATGGAGTCCGGGTGTCGAAGTGTATGATGCATATAGTGGGGAAAATTTCCAACTTCGGGCCATGATTTATTGCACCATAAATGATTTTCCAGCATATGGGAATTTGTCTGGATACAGCACAAAAGGAGCAAATGCATGTCCAATTTGTGAAGATGATACACAATCGTTATGGTTGACAAATTGCAAGAAAAATGTATATATGGATCATCGAAGATATCTTCCAAAAAATCACCCATATCGCAAGAAAAAAAAGGTGTTCAATGGTAAAACTGAGGAGATGACAGCAAGGAAACCATTACGAGGAGAAACTGTATTTTCTCGTGTTGAAAATCTAAACGTGACATTTGGAAAATTCAAAGGTAATGGTAAAGGAAAACGTAAACGTAAACGTACAGGTACAATTCCTCCTAAAGTTATTTGGAAGAAAAGATCTATATTTTGGGAGTTACCATATTGGAAGCACTTGCAGGTTCGCCATTGTCTTGACGTTATGCATATTGAAAAAAATGTTTGTGAAAGCCTGATAGCCTTATTGTTGAACATTAAAGGAAAGTCAAAAGACGGGATTAATGTTCGAGAAGACATGGTTGAAATGGGAATTCGCCCCGAGCTTGCTCCTATTAGGAATCTTGGAAAGCGTACGTATCTGCCAGTAGCTTGTTATACCATGTCAAAGGATGAGAAAACAAAATTTTGTAAGTGCTTACATGGTGTAAAGGTTCCATCAGGCTATTCTGCTAACATTAAGAAGTTAGTGTCAATGAAAGAACTAAAACTATTTGGTATGAAGTCCCATGATTGTCATGTTTTAATGGCACATATGATTCCCATTGCAATTCGTGGAATACTACCGAACCGAATTCGCCAATGACTGCGGAGTTGTTACGAGAAAGTTAATTTCTATCGAATATCCGACTTGGAAGAAAGTGCCAGCAAATGAAAAGGAGAACTTATGGTTGACCATCAAGGTTTTTAATCTAATACACATTACATGTGCTTTCATTTAATTAATATATGTTACTAATAGTTTTTTTTTTTTTTTAATTTTATATATAAAAAAAATACAAAAACAGAAACGTTGGAAAATCCATGATGAAAACCGCAAATCATATGTGCTTATGACTTGCAACCACAAGTGGAGATCATACAAAAAGAGGCTTAAAAAGAATTTCTTGGTCAATGAGAATGAGAGAAATCCACTTGAAAGCTACTCATATCTGGAAAAGACTGCGTTGCAAAAGTTTAAGGAAAGAATATCATCAACGGAATTCCAGGTTAGTAGGATATAATGTCTCTTGATAATATTAATCATTATGTTCCAGTTTTATAATTGTGGTTGTTGTTTTTTTCGGCAGGATATAAGTGAGAAAGCAAGGATGAGTTCAATGTGTAATACGAATCCAGCCCGAGTAGGCCCACATGGTTATCGGGGCAACAAAGCTAAGTGGGAACAAGAGAAGGCATCGGGTCAGTTGCCGTCACAGTTGTATGAGATAAAAAGCGAGCGTTCATTAGATTATGTGTTGGGGAGAAGATCTGAAAATGAGTCAGGGTCAAAAATAATACCACCTAACATGGAACCCATAGTAAAAAAGCTTGTAAGATTGCTCTTAATTTTGTTTTTTAAGATTTCGTTTTTAATTTTTTTGTCCAAGTAATTGTATGACTGTAATGTTGTTTGCATTAACAGATGGATGTCCAAAAAGAAATATCCGAAGGTGATTTGTTGCTGGTTCCCGGAGAGGATTTGTTGACTAAGGCAATAGGACCGGAGCACCCTAGTCGTACCAGGGCGGTGGGGCATGATATTGGCTTAAGAAAGGGGATGCAAGGACTTGACAAAAAAAAGAGGAACGTCGTGGACAAAGATGTTGTTAGTAAGATGCAGGCGCAGTTAAATGAAACAAAAACCCAATTGGCAGAGTTAAGAGCAATGCTTGCGAAACAAGAGTCTAGGAACCAAGTCCCGAATAATGTATGCTTCGCTGTTCAAAACAATAGTTCTTGCTCGACGTCGACATTGGATGCTTTAAATACGATAAAGGTTTATGTTTTTTGAATTTCTTGATATCATATTACTTTGAACTTTGCTGTCAAATTATGTTTTACATCGTATTTTCTAACATATTGACACATGAAATACACTACATGCTATATGATTGTAGAATTGGTCACTATGTTATACAAATGTACAATAATGGTCCATGTGTGATAGAAAATATACTAAAATAGTTCCAAACTTTTGTATTTAGAATATTTTACTGTTTTAATGTGTTTGGCTTATATTTTTTGAATTTCTTGATATCATTTTACTTTGATCTTTGATGTCAAATTATATTTTATATCAAATTTTCTAACATGTTGACACATGAAATACACTACATGTTATATGATTGCAAACTATTACTTGTGATTTGGTGTTACCTTATGGTGATATGAACCAAAAATGTGCCAGAGGGATGGTCTTTCCTTATAATGATGGGTTAATTCACTCACTTCCTTTACGCGGAAATCACTTGAAGGTTATGATAGACAGCATAGATGAAAGATATAAAGGTATTCCTGTTCCTGTGATGACAAATGAAGTTGGTACCCTAGAAGATGCAGTTGGCACTGTAATTCAATGGCCGCGGATCGCAATTGTTCTTAGTAAGGTACATCTTCATTATCCTTTAAATTTTTATCTACCATATATACATTTTCTGAAAATGAGAGAATTCCCTATATGCTCCTATTAAACATCAAATTATTATATTTAGGCCGACAAATAAAATATTTTGATGTTTAAGAGTGGCATATACGACATTCTCGCTAATTAAAATGAGTTATTAATAGGAACAACAAAGCAAGGCGTCATCACAACAACAAATTCAGACCACAAGTGCGCGACCATCAACCGCAAAGGTTGTTATGGAAAAAAACATGCCTAACCAAAAGATCAACAAACCAAGGCCAATAGAATCACTTCGCGACCTTTTGAAGACCAACCTAGTGGTTCATGTAGTAGCCGATGCTGGACATCTAGAAGCTGGGGCGTTTGATTTTTCAGTTACATATGAAGATTATTATCGTTTGTTGAAAAAACAAACAGCTGATTTGTCCATCATAACAACTTGGCAGATGTAAGTGCATTCAAATTTTACTATTATTTGTTTCCATGATATTTTCTTTTTAGGCTGCTTATAAGATATGACTTGATTGGAAATTTTTTGTAATATTGTTTGTAGCCTTTTACAATTAATGCTTCAAAAACGTATGGGAAAGTGTGCTTTCTTAAACCCGTATAAGATTCTTGGGAAAGCCTGTCAGGAAACTCCGATTGATGTCGTCAATTATCTCGTTGATGCGATGCAACTTCATCATGGAAAATCGTTTCTTATCGCACCATACCTGCAAAAGTATCATATGTTGCTATCTATATTCATACTTATTTTTTTGTGTGTTTTTATACTAAAATTTCAAAACATTACTAGTATGCATTGGGTCCTCTTGGTGATTTGCCCTTCAAATCATATTGTCTACATTTTGGATTCTCTGATGAAGCCTATGAAAAATCCGGTTGACAACTACTACCTTCTCAAACTTTTGGAAAAGTAAGAAATTTTTTTATATGACATGAAAATAACATTCTTTCTATAAGCTTGAATACAACTATGCTGCTTGTTTATTTTTAGGGCTTTTGAGAGGTATGAAAAGAACACATCAATTCCAATTGTATGGAAGCTCACTGAGGTAATTTATCTTATTACGTATCCACTAGTTAGATGTAGTTTCGTTTGTGATTTATGTTTACCTTTTATCACAATTTTAGTGCAACCAAGCTGGTGTATTGGAACGTGAGCTGAGTGGACATTATGTAATGAATTGGATCTTTGATTTCGTGTTGAACAGACAACATGGATTTCCGAGTAGAGTAAGTAATTCTAAAAAAATCTTTTCTTTTAAAGCAAGAAACAAAGTGTTTCATTATTTAGTAGTTTTAATTTTATTTTCATATAGTTTGGTACCCTTTGGAATGACAAAATTGCATTTGAGGAAAAGGTGTTGGTTACAACTGTTGCTACATGGGCCAGAGAATTTCTGAAAAATTTTATGAATGATGTGGTTGTCTAAAAGTGCATATAAGGTTAGTTGTTAATCTTTATAACATCCTACTTTTAGTTTAATGATTGTTTGCTAAATTCAACTCCGTTAAAATGATAGACAAAAAAACTAATAATTTGTTGTGTTTTGTTTTTTTAGTGAGGATGAAGGGTAGCTGTTGTGTTTTGCTTTTAAGTGAGGTTGGAGGATAGCTGCAACATTTGATTATTGGACAATACCTCTGCATGGGAAAACAATTTTATTTTTGAATTTATTTATGTAAGTTTGATGTACTTCGAAATGACCAAATCATGGAGTTTTTAGAAACACTTAAGCATGTTTTTATCGATGACCATAATGATTGGTTATTTAGCATGTTTATATTAATATAATTTGTTCATCAATTCATAATTTTTGCTTTGTTTTGAATGTGTGCTTTGAATGCAAGTATCAATTTGTGTTTTTTATATGGTTATTTGAATAAATTTGTCAACAATTTAATCCTTATAACCATGCTTTCTGGTGGGGCTGTGGGTAGGGGTTTTTGCAAGGCTGAAAAAAGACCCGGTTATATTCATGGAACCGGTCCATATATAATCTTTATATGACCCAGTTTGAGGATTGGAACCGGGCTCTTTTAGCCATATATGACCCGGTTTCGTATGCTTAGACCGTGTCCTAATCTTCATATTTGACCAAAGATTGGGCGTTATGTTCCACTTATATGTCCCGGTTTTATGAACAACCGGTTTCTTTTGTGTTGGATAGGAGCCGGTTTTAAAACCGGGTTCTATTCGTTTTTTCACATAGGTCTCGCTGGCTTTAGGACCCGGTTCAAAACCGGGTTATTTAATTGAAATAACCGGGTCCTATAAGCTTTTTTGTAGTAGTGACTTCATCCAAGCCTTTAGATTTTTAAGCTCAAATCTTCTTTTATGGATCTGCCAAGCCCAACAATGCCTTGAGAGCCCACTAAGCCCGTCTCCAATCAACCCGCAACCGCAACGAACACCGAAAACCTTCAAAATACCTATGCAAAATAAAAAGCACCCAGTATGATCCATAATAAAGAAAATAAAGAATATACAATGCATTAATAATAAAAACATTAAAAAATCTAAAATAAACTATAAAAAGAAGTAAATAAAATAAAATATCACATGGTATTAGAGCATATCATTGTCTTTCATGAAAACCATAATTAAACACATACACATGAAATTCATACATATGTCAAGTTCGAAATGACTTTCTACAAATACAAAAAACATAATTGAAAAATTAGAATAAAGCAAAAATAAAAAATGTGATTCCGGATGCATAGTTCAGAATTTCAAATTATACCCAGGAATGTCATGTTGCGGAAAATATGGTCCGTTTAAAAATACAAATGATATTATTTTATCAAAATTTTATTTGTGTCAAAATGAACATTTATATTGGTTAGTTTACTCAAATTGTATTTTTTTTAATCATATTGTTGATTAAGAAGTAAGTTTGATTAACAATGAAACCAACTCCCGTTTTTAAACAAACCAATTAAGAGCCCATGCATACATACATAATTTTCGTGTTTTCAAAACAACCATCCTCCATTTATCATCATTTTCATGTTTTAAAAGTCAATCCTCCAACCAACCTTCAAATTTAACATAATTTTTGTGTTAGCTTTCTTTTAACACCAAATATGAAGTTTTTGTGTTAGCTTTCTTTTAACACCAAATATGAAGGCAAAACATAAAGGCCTCTAAAAAACATAATTTTAGAGGTTTGTTGGAGTTGAATCACCATTTTGATGTTAAACAATCACTATTTTGTGTTATTGGTACCTTTACAATTTTCTTGCATCTAAGCTTTCACTAGTTGATGCTTTATAAGTGTTGCATATTTATACCGGGGACCAAAGGTTTATGGATGTTTTTGGCAAAACTAGTTGCTAGTAGTTAGTAGTTAGCGGGTCGTGTTTGATTTTAGAGCGTTTTACTGAAAGTTTTTTCATGTAGCTTTTGATTTGAAGCATTTTGTTTAGTCTAAATGTTAAACGATCATGTTGTCGAACGTAACTCTTTCTTTTTTACGAACATTTTTTTAAAAGCTAAAATCCAGAAACTCCCCTAACATTGCATATGTGCAAGCGTTTTTTAAGTTTTCATTAGTAAAAAATTGTGACTTTTCGAGTTCAAACTAATTTTTATATAAAGTTAACTATATGTACAGAAGAAGTTTCTCTTTGCTCAACTCACATACCCACCCAACCCCTCAAAACACTAACTTTGCTATGAATTCATGGATGTAGTCCCTTCCCACAAAACAACAAGTTTAACTAACTACAAAATGAGGAGTGCCACATTTTTCAATGGTAAAAGCGTTACCCATTGGAAAGTATTAAACCTAATTGCTCATGATATCTACCATTATTTGAACTCCTACCGCATGTGGTCAAGAAATGCACAGTTATTTAACTACAAAAGTAAAGTTTTAAAATATATAATAATAATAATAATAATAATAATAATAATAATAATAAAATAATAATAATAATAATAATAATAATAATAATAATATGAAACAAAAAAATAATAAAAAAAATAACATTGGTGAGGTTATCAGTTGTTGAATCTAATCGAAACTACAAATTTAATCACACATTACAAATACAACATAAAGTGTCTGTGCTAGAATCTATACTTTTGCAAAAATATAATTCATGCTTTCATTTAAAATAATGACAACATACATACATACTATAACATCCCAAATTTCAAGATCAAAAATTTCATTTTTAATTTAATCATTCATAAAACAATTATTGAAAACACCATTGAGTCATCCCATATCGTAAGAACCATAAGTCATATGTCTCAAAACAAGTCATACTAATGTCAAAGTACAAATCCCAAGAACATCATAGTGTGGAAAATAGTAGTGTGATGCGCTGCAGTCATGTCATCTTCTTTCCTTTCGAAGAAGAAGTACCTGAAATCAAAACTGAAAACCGTAAGTATAAAGTTTAGTAAGTTCTCCCATCATACCACATACCATACAATAAACATATTGTCTAACATATTCAGATACTAGCTACCCATTTGCTCTCTTTCAACCGGTAATTTGCTTAGCATATCAGGGTGTTGGCCTACCCCTTCGGCCCTTTTGACCGGTAACTTGCCTAGCATAACAAGGTGCTAGTCTACCACTTCGGTCCTATCGACTGGTACCTCGCATAGCATATTAGGGTGTTGGCCTACCTCTTCGGTCCTGTCGATCGATACCAGGGACTATTTCACCCCCTACTTCCACCATATCACATATTACTACATAAACACATAAGTCATATATTGCCTAGCTTATCAACGTGTTGGCATACCCCTTCGGTCCTTTCGACCGGTATTGGGGCCTATCCTACCCCTCCTACCTAATCACATAATATCATAGCATACTAGAACATAAAGCATAACCGATAGTGACATACCAAATAATTATCAAAATACAATCATCTCTACTATAATTCTTATTAGTGGGTCGGTATTAGTGCCTTCGACCCACTTCTATTGGAAGGTAACTCACCTAAAATATCGTCTAGTAGTTGAACTGTCCTCGGCTCTGGATCAGCTCCTCTCAAACTCCTAGACATAAAATCTCCTTTAATTACCCTTTCATACTCATAACCCTTTTAAGGTTCAACTCTGGTCAATGGTCATGGTCAAAGTCAACATCCTAGCCAAAGTCAACATCCTGGTTGACTCAACTCGCCGAGTTGGTCCATCAACTCGTCGAGTTCCAGGATCCATAAAACCCTTGAATCCCGATCCTACTCGTCGAGTTCTTTCATGAACTTGTTGAGTTCCTCCTCATAACATAGTCAGGACCTTTCACTCACAACTCGCCGAGTCCTTCCTTCAACTCGTCGAGTTCCTCAATCTTCATATCCGAAAACCATGGCAAACTCGCTGACCACGCCCCAACTCGTGGAGTTGTATGAACAACTTGTCGAGTCCCCCATAGTCTAAACCCATTTAGTCATTTCTAGTCGGGTTAATTGCTTACAAACCATAAATTTGGTCCCTTAGGACTACGTTACCACGTAAAGTTGCTAACTTTACGTTCATGCATCGTGTCAAGAAGCTAATAACACCCAAAACTAGACTCCTAAAGAAATCTAAAGCATGGAGAAGGACCAAGAATTAATAAAGTTGGCAACTTTAAGTCTCATAAGTCCATGGACATCTAGATCTGAAGTCATAACTTCAAAACATGCTTACATCTATGAATGGTTCCAAAATAGGCTTCTTAAGGCCCTAAGCTACTCCATGAAGATATCTAGTAAATGAATAGACAAGGTATATACTTTATACCTCAATAAGGCTGCTTTGAAAAAGAAATCTCTAGATCCAAAGCTTCTTCCTTCAACCAAGAACTTCTAACTTCCACTCCTTCAAGGAAATACCAAAGAATCACTCTCTTTTCACTCACACACACTCAAAAGTCTCAAGATCACGAATTAGGGTTTTTTCTGGACTGAGGGAGGCCACAGTAAAGTGTTAAGGTCCTTAAATAGGGTGTAAAACCCTGAAAATTAGGGTTTCACTCTGGCATCCCTACTTGTCGAGTTGAGGCTCTCAACTCGTCGAATAGACTTCAAGTCCTGCGTCCAAAACTTCCATTCCTACTCAACGAGCTTGGGGCCTCCAACTCGTTGAGTCCCTTTGCAAAAATGAGAAATTCCTATTTAAAATACATACCAGGAACTGGGCATTACAAATCTCCCCCACTTATTTTAGACTTCGTCCTCGAAGTCCGCTGCGCTTGGAAACAGCTCGAGGTAGTTATCCCTCGTCTCTTCGGCTCCCAAGTCCATTCTAAGCCCTTGCAGTGCTGCCATTGCACCTTCACCACTATAGAATATCCTTTAGAGGCACCACTATAGAATCATCTACCAAGCACTTCCACAGCTGGGAGACATGAAAGTTATTGTGGATCTGACTAAGCTTGGCTGGCAGATCCAAACTATACGCCACCTTTCCCACCTGGGCTATAAACCTGAAAGAACCAATGTACCTGGGGCCCAGCGTGTCCCGCATCCTGAACCAGATGACACCTTTCCAAGGTGACACCTTCAGGAGGACCCTATCTCCTACCTGAAACTCCAGGTCTGAATAACGCTTGTCGGTATAACTTTTCTGGAAACTCTGAGCAGTCTCGAATCCTATTCAAGACCTGCTGGATCCTCTCCGTCATCTTGAGTACCACTACGGTACTCCCTATGACCCTCTGCCCAACCTCACCCCATCATATAGTGGTTCTGCACTTCCTCCCATATAATAT